GATAAGGCTTTATGTTTTGGATCTCATAATGCGCAAGCTGTGGTCAATTTTTTTTTTAAATCGATCACTTATTTTGAGATGATGGGATTGTTGACACATAATATGGTTTGTGTCATAATGATTAGGCAGATGATGAATGTCAGCAGGCAAGATTGGCTCACTCACACGAGCAATCGCCCTTGGGCGCTGGGAGCGAGCAAGGATGAGACTGGTGTTTTATTTTATTTGGAGCTAAGAAGAGGCTTAAATCATCCACTATATATGTCGCTTGGTTATAACCAAGATGAGGTCGTGTTAAGGACCAAACATGGATGTTAGTACCACTTTCCATGTTGTGCCTGTTATGATTAGCCAAAGCGAGATCTCATTTGGCGCCTAGAAGGCGAGCAAATAGAGAATTCGGGTTAGGCGCTAGAAAGTGACTAGACTAATATCTGTTACGGTGTATCGAGTATGACGTCACTCTTTATGAAGAGTTACTCCACCGTCGCATGTATTCATACTATATGTGCTTGGCAGACCGAGTATGAGGTGAGAGAATGGATCCCTCCTTCCTCACCGCGTGTGAGTCTTACGTGTCAATTATTGATATGACTTTCATTTATGTACCTCTTTGTGACTTTTGACTATGTCATAAGTAAGGGGTTGAATGTTCTGCTACTTTGGTGATGTTGCCTGCGGTCATGCATGATTCGGCCTTAAGGGACATTACTGGGAAAGCGGTCAATCCTAAACAAAATGTCATGAGTGCAAAGGGAAGATCATCTAGTATTACACCACTGTTGTATATTCACTGCCGGCAACTCACATCGCTCTGTATGAGAGGCGAATTGAGTGTGAATATATTGCAAGAATTAAGAGGGTCAAACATGCTCATTTTGAGGGATTAGAGATGTTTTTTGGACCGGTGTAATTAGATGGGTCTGGGGTATATGAGACACTATTTCTATTCTTTTTGGGTTGATGTCTCTATGTTGGCTCATTTTTGAGTTTCTAGTATAGAGCTCCCACATGCAGGTGTTCTCAGCAGTCGCACGGTGCAGTGGCTAGTATGAGATTGTTTATTTTTGGGAGATTGAGATAGAGATGTGGCAGTGTCATGCCAACTCATGTGCGAGTGGGAGATGTTAGTAATGGGCGCCCATGTGGCATGACCGTTTGAATTTGAATTTGAATCTTATCCAAATAGGTTTTGAAATTGAATTCAAACCTATTTAGGATAACCACTCTGGATATAGATATTATCTCCATTAATTAATATGGATAGATAATAATAAAATATTATATATCTGGTATATGGGTTATGGGTGATTACGAGAAAAAACAACGTATGATCTGAGTTTTACCCATATACTGACTCTCTCCCAAAGAACAACGATCAAGTCATTTGCACTGTGATTTGTGTGGGTGATATTCAATCTGTGATATCACTTCACTGCTGGGTTGGTTTATCAGACTCTAGAAGCACGTGATTTACCCACGAGGTTCTATCATCTAAAGGTATGATCTAAATATTTTTCCGCTGCATGCTTTATACTTTGATTTACACTTATACTCATCTCAACCACTTTAGCTTGAAGATCTGGGGTAAGGTGGTCTTCTAGAGTGATTGCAACAGGATAATCAGATGCAAACAAGGCATGATCTTTAATAGACTTCAAACATTTAGTGAGTTCAACTGGAGTGGTCAGCGTCCTACATAAAAGAACGGATCTCTTGAATGAAATGAGGACACTTACCATACAGATCTTTCATGCATGAACACAAAGACAGGGCACAACTAGAGATAGATTTGGCACCATATAGATGTAAAGACAATAAATTGTTATAAGCTAGGACAGGGACAGGATGGTAAGGTAAGATACAAACACACTCATGCACAAGCTCATAACACATACACATATAATACAAATCTTGTGCTCCCCCACACCTCTCAACTCTCCATCCTTTGTTTGAAACCTTGCTGCATCTCATTACTTCCATTTCTAATATCCAAGTTTTTCACAATTTATGTGGAAAGAAAAAAATATTTCCAAATTATTGGCAACATGTCCAATGCATTTAAAAATATCATATTACAGACTTGTCCAATGCATATTTGAGACATTTTCTGAAGTAACTTGTCCAGTTTCATGTAGTGTGCAAGGTTTATTAGCTCGCAACATACAAGAAAGTCAGAAAGTTTTTCCTCAAAATTTATGTTTAAATCTAAGCTAATCCATTAGAGTGCTTCATATCAAATAAAGATTTTACTCAAATTTGAATAAAATTTTGAGTAAGGACTGAAGATTTCCTAAACATAAACACACTCAAAACATTCATGTATGTTTATATAAGCACGAACATACACATACACACATATACATGTATATGATAGGGTTAGAGAGTGAGTGAATGTTGTTGTCAAATAAACCAGTTCAATTGCAACAAAAAAACACTTGTGATTAATAACATGGTGTGATTAAAAGATGATTAATAACATGGTGTGAACTTATGTCATGCACTTTTTATACTAAAATTACTCGTATGTAACTGCTCACATTTCTTCTTTTAATGACACTAAATAATGTTGTCAAACACTTACTGCTTTCAATTAGGATGCAACAAAAAAAACTCAGAAAACTTGAAAGTTAAATCAACTCAATCTCTGTGAGTTGAGATAGTTCAATTTTGTCAATACGTTAGTTTGATTTTGAGTTTAAAAATAATGTATCCGATCAAAGTGGTTCAATTCTTATCCTAACCCAGCCTAACCCGAATATTTTCTTTATAATACCTAAGGCAAAGTAGGGCCAACTAGACAATGCCTCCTTAACTTGTGGGATTGCACTCATCCATATCTAACTTAAGATCACGACATAAAAACTTATATTTTGTCCTTCGATTATTACCTCATAAAATTTTCCTTCGATTATTAAGCTCAGACAAAACTTTACAATAAAGCATTAGAGTGAGAAAAAAAAAACAAAAAAAAAGACCTCAGCATCAATGAATTGTGTACCCTTCACTTCATCCCCGGCATTCTCATTCTGCTCTTCTCCTTGCAGAACAGCAAGTACATCACGGGGCCAAAGTCTCCTCAACAGTAGGACTGCTAAGGGCAGTCAAATCAATATCTCCATCAGAAACGTAGGTCTTTAGTGGCACAGAGCCATATGGGAAAACCTACAAAATTTGCATAAAGAATCAGTAAATCTCAACTTAAAGGTACTTCAATAAAATGGAGTAATAGTCCTCCCCACATGAGTAAAGATAATATACAACCTAACTGTATAAAAAATTCATACAATTGGAGATATGAATCTTAATTTTAATTTGAAGTGTGGAAGGATCCTTTGGCATTAGTAACAACATATCTCAGCTCCTAAAGTGGAGATCTTCATGGTTTTCCACTTTAAGAGAAAATGAGTGTATGTGCAACAATCTTCCAAGTATAGGAACATTAATAACTAACAAAGTCAGACTGCTGTTCATAAAGAAGAAACTCTACATTTAGAACACAACCACTGACACGTTTCAGCAAGAAGTGCTTAAGTCTAGGAAATAGAGCATAGGAGATGAGAGGTAAACAGATGTAGAATGCTCAAGAAACTGCCCAAATTGAAGCACGTGCAGCCTTAATGAAACAATTGAAAGGAGATTTAGGAGAGTAAAAGGTGGTGAAGAACAGCGAAGAAAGAGGTTGACAAAAGCCCAAGAGAGAAAAAGAGAGAGCAACTAAATACAAGGACTTCCAAGATTTTGAAACTTAGCTGAAGCAGGGCAAAAAATTGGGAAATAAAAAACTCAAGTAATTGCACAAATTGATTCACATGCATTTCTTAAGCCTAGTAGCTAAATTATTAAAAATAAACAAATAAACAAATAAGTGGTGGAAAGAGGGAGCAAGGGTACAAATCCTAATCGAAATGGGAAGGATCTAAAACAACCTTAACATGACTTGTATCTTTTGTCAACACATTAAAGAAACTACTCAAAGCTGCCTTTTTCTTTTCGTTTTTCCTTTTTCTTCTTCTTTTTTTTATTTTATTTTATTTTAAATTATAGATATTAGCTCCCTCAAATAGGTTCAAAGTGAAGAAACAATTCAAAGATCCTTTTACATCATCATTTACACATCATTTGCACTCTTCCATGTTGATTGTCCATATTTTGCAAACGGATTGCACACCCTTGGTTACTCTTTTCTACTACAATACAGTACCTATCAAAAAACAAGGTGGTTTGCCAATCACGAATCATGGTCTGATGGGGGTAGGCTGATATAACATATGGGTTGATTTGATATAACAATTTCCAACATAACAATTTAGGTTCATACAAAAAAACAGATTACTCCCCATTCCATTTTTTTTTTAAATAAAAAATAGTGAATTACAATGACCCCCACTAAGGGTTTTGACAAACATAAATTCCCCTGGCAGTAAACTTGAAGGAAACCAAGTTAACAAAGAATGTAAAATGATTTAAACAAACAACAAAATGTAAATCCCACAACACAAAAACATCTATATAAAAATCAGACGAAATACGCCAGCCAATACTATGCAATGGAAAAAAATAAACAAATTAAGTACACCAGCCAATGCTCTGCAATACAAAAAAAAAATGCCAAATAACAAATTAAGCACCCCAGCCAGTGCTCTGCAATACAAAAAAAAATGTCAAATAAAAAAATAAGCCCCCCCGCCAATGTTCTGTAATACAAAAAAAATGCAACACCCTTCCTAATAAAAAGATAACCAAATAAAAATATGATTAGTTTTGTTTAACCTAATTCAAGAGCATATTAGGAAGAAAAAATATCTAACATTTACAAAAACATATATCACCTAGTGTGTTACATTTACAAAAACAAACTCATAGCATAAATCAATAATTCAAATGAAAATTATCTAACATACATCTAAACTTAGTTATAAATTTCACATAGATAAAAGGCTTTACAAAACTATTGTAAGTAATAAATTTCACATCGATCGGAAACTTTACAAAATATGGATCGTAGCTAGCATATGTACGCTATTCACAAAAGTAAATATGAGATTCAAACTTGTTCTTTCTTAGAAATCCTAGGAGCGCCTCATCACTTTCCAAAAAGTCCTCGTATCAACTTATATGTATCCCCAGTGAGGAACATGCACGACAATCTATTAATTTATGAAAATAAAAAAGTTAGTATATTAGCAAATAAAAAAGTTATATATCAAAACACTTTCAAATTACCTTGTTACATCCCCATCGAAGCAATCTAGTTGTATTTATATTTTTGAGCTCCATATATTTTTTAACCCAATCCTACAAATGTCGACACATATAGTAAAATATTTTTTAAATAACAAATTTATCAATAAATAAATTGTACCTTTTGACAAAGTTTTTCTTGGAGTTGATAAAGGTTACAATTATTTTTTAGGAAATGTTAAAGAGAGCTAAAAATACTTTGTTTCAGTGTACAAAAAACAAAGAGCACACAAAAAAAAAAATTGACAACACAATTTAAATTATCAATGGTCACTTAAACAATATGATTGGCTTTGTTTTACTCGATAAATATTTTTTTAAAGATGTTGAATATATACCATTGGACATGCGTTTTCCTTCCATTTGTCAAAAGAAGTTGCCTTTTCTTTTCCTTTAGACATTGCCTTGGCCTTTTCCTTTTCCTTTGCCTACCAAAAATAAATAAAATTTATTCAGAATACGAAAAAGAACATGTATTTATAGAATTTATTAAGATTACGAAAAAAGAACATTTTGAACTTGATATTTATACTTACCTTAGAATTGCGGATAATATTAAGATTGCACTCATCACGAATAACAACACCGATATTCCTAGTCTCATGGAGCAATGAGTTTGCATGAGTAGGCCTACAAATATTTGTTGTGTAGAAAATAAAATTTGTTAAATAAAATCTTAACAATAAGAATATGTATTTGTATAATTAAATACAATGTTTTACCAATTCCTTTGTGAAGCTAAAGATGTGCTTGGCGAAAGTAGATGTGTAAACATTACTCCTTTCTGAGCCGGTGGAGTATTAGTTGTGCTTGGTGGAATCAATTATCTCGATCTTTCTCGTTCACGTCGCGAACATTGTCCCAATTGATATGAAGAACTTGCCTTATCATTTCTTTCACGTTCTCGCCGTGCACGTTGAGCCAATGCAGCTTTCGATATAACATTATTGTTATGTGCCTAAAACATGAAGATTAATTTCATAAGATGCCTAAATTTTATCATCTACTATTTTATACTTTTCTCTTCATTTTTCATTTCTATTAATTTACTTTATCTTAATTCCCTTTTCTCTATCAAAAAATTGAAAACTTTTTCATTCTGTATCCCTCCTCCCCTCATTCCTTTTTTGTTATATTCCTTTTTTATTCTCTTGTCAATAGCAAAAACCCAAAAAAGAATAATAATAATTTAAAACAAATATATTGTTTTTTGTACAAATCCTATTTTAGTATGCTTCAAAAAAAACATTTCACAAATTTATATGAAACTGTTTACTATAAGAACAGTATATGTCACTATGCAAGTAGTATGTCAATTTTACATTTACAAATAAATAAATAATCAAGGTTCATGGTCCAAAATAAATATTTCAAAAAAAGAACTTTAAATGGGAATGTTGAAGAGCCATACTACTGAACATGCATTTCCCTTTCCCTTGCCCGAAACGGTAGTCTTTTCGTTTTTCTTCAACAATGCCTTGGCAATTTCCTTTTCTTTTGCCTACCAAAAAAAAAAAAAATTAAAGAATAAAGAAAAAATCTATATATGTAGAAAGTTTTTAAAAAATCTATAAATAAGAATATACGGTGTATACGATGTTTTGAATGAAAAAAAATCTATATAATTAAATTGGGCCTACCTCTCGAACACAGATGACATTAAGGTCACGCTCATCATGGATAACAACATTAACATTTCTTTCTTGAAGAAATTGGACCTAAAAATACAAAAGAATTAGAGGTAAAAAAAATAAAAAAATTATACATGTAAGAATATGAGTAAAAGGAATCAGTATTACAGTTCGACGTAGGTCTCCATCCATCTGTAAATTCTAAGAAAAGAGAATTTTGTTATAAGGAATTAGATAAAAAAAATTATGAAAAGAAAAGAAAATTGACTTTTGCTTATAAGAAAATTGTTTTTTTTTTCAAATAAATAAAAAAGAAAACAACTTACGTGACCAAAAATAGTAATGTTGTCCATAATTAGCGGTTGAAGGTCAATGGTGTCTTAACCTGAAAGTGCTTGGTTATGTAAATTTGACAAATTGTATGAAGGCAAAATGAGGTTTAATAATTGCCATAAAGAAAAATTAATCGCTACAAAATTAACAGCCTCCTAACATATTTTAGTTAACAACCTAGTTTAAGAAGTTCGTTTGTGCATGAATATCACAGATAGAGAAAAAGGATAGAAGAAAAATTAAATACTCTCATAGAAATCTTCATAATTTTTAATACAGAATTTTATAGAGAGAGAGAGAGAGAGAAGTGAGTGTTGAAACCCAATTGATTATTAAAGAAAAAAAAA